GCGGCAGCACAGTGGGGGAACAGAAGAGTGGGGGGGCAGGGAATGGGGACATGGAACAAGGAACACAGGGCAGTGGAGGGGAGCAGAAAAGGGAGACAAAGATGATAAGATGTAGGAGTTATTTCAGCGCAGAGCTGAGAGTTATTCTTTTCAAGAGGTATAAACGATTAGCCTTTTAACTGTTTCCTTTCTCTCTTTTGAGAATGGATCTTGAGCTCACTATGTAGCTGAGGATAAACTCCCGCCTCCACCTCCCAAATGCTAGGGTTAAATATGGGTACCACCACCACGATCAGCTCTTCTTTGGTCCTGATGTTGTTTCGTTTTGTTTTGTTTTGACATGGGAGTCTTACTCTGTAGCCCAGGCTGGCTTATAACTCACTATGTTGCCCAGGCTGGCCTCAAATCCATAGCAATCCTCCGTATCAAAGTGGATGGAACTACGGGTGTGAGCTCCCATATCCAACAAGAACCGCCCTTTCCCAAAAAAATATTAAAAAAATAAACAATAGGAGACTGAGGATGCAGCTCCGTTAGTAGCGTGCTCGCCTAGCACTGCCTAAGACTGGAATGGGGGTGCGCACCTGGAGCCCTAATACTGCAGGGAGACAGGACGTTCAGGGCCACCCTCAGCTACACATGAATGGCCGGGGAGACTGGGTTGGGGGTTACAGATCACTTTCACGAGCTCCAAACAAACCTGAGTTGAAAGCCGAAGAAATAAATAGAACAGCATCAATTTGCTAAATGAGAAACCCAAAGATAGGTAACACCCATGGTGGCCTTTGGCCTGGCCACTGACCAACCCTAGTACTATTCCACCTCAGCCAGCAGAGGGCTCTCTTTGCTAATCTTCAAGTTCCAAAATAACAAAACAACAACACAAAAAAATCCCTGGGTTGCTGCTCATTTTTATCATGTCCCCATCTGAAGCCTCTTACAAAGCTAAAGTAATAAAGAAATAGCAGGAGATGGTAGCAAACACCTTTAATCGCAGCACTCTGGGAGACTGAACCAAGAGGAGCAAAGCAGAAGACCAGCCTGGGTAACAGTCTGAAAACTGATAATGCTAATAATTTTAAGACAAGAAAAAAAAAATAGGCGATAAGAAATTAGGAGATAAAAATTAGAAGAAAAAAATGACTGTGGATACGATGGCTCCCGCCTACAAATACAGCCTCTGAGAGACGGAGACGGAGGGTCAGGATTTCAAGGCCAGCCTCTGGGAGACAGAGGCAGGAGGATTAGGACTGCAAGGCCAGCCTCTGCTGCCGAGGTAATTTAAAACCAACCTGAGCTACATTCGACCTTATCTCAGGAAACACAGACATAGGGGCTAGAGAGGTGGCTCCGTGGTTAAGAGCTCTTGTTGCTCTTTCAAATGAGCTGGATTTGATTCCCAGCACTCATGTAACTCACAACCATCCATAACTCCAGTTCAAGGGTGTCCGGCACCCTCTTCTGACCTCTACATGCATGTGGTGAATATAACATATGTGTAGGCAAACACATACATGAAATAAATAAAAACAATTTAAAACAACATGGAAATAAAACAACAACAACAACAACAGCAAAAATGCTGAGAGCCTATAGGATGGCTCAATAGTTAAAGGGGCTTGCTGCCAAGCCTGGCAACCCGAGTCCAAAACCCTAGAACTGGAACTTCCTTCCTTTCTCTCGCCCATGACTCTTTCAGGCAGCCCCCCTTTAGACCCTGAATAACTGGGCCCGAGGGACGGGTCAAATGTTGTCCTCTGACCTTTACACATTTGCTGTGGCATGTGCTCATGAGCACATGTGCACACACACACACACACACACACACACACACAC